GGATCCATGGTACCATGAGGAGTATGGGATGGGCACCCACAGCCCTGGCAGCACAACTCACCCAGGGCTGGAGCCTCTCCGGTACCCGGCTGGGCATGGCGCGTCCATGCACTGGGCACCTCCGCGGGTGTTGAAGCACATCTGGCTGGAGCCACACTGGATCATGCCCTCGGCACACTCATCAACATCTGCAGGCAGAGAGGGGATGGGTCTGAGGGTGCCAGGGTGCCCGTGTGGCTCTGACCAGATGGGGATTCAAACCGCAGCTCCCACCCCACAGCTTCCCCCCCCACCTGGGGTGTTGGACAGTGGGGCAGCAAGACAAAAGCACCAAGGCTTGGTGGGGTGCTGGGCCTGGGAACAGCCCTTCCTGGGAAGGGGAAAGACTGGCAGCCCCAGAGGGATGACATCGTGGGGACTGGGTTCACACCCCAAAAGGCTCAGGCATCCTGCCGGGGCAGGGGCATACCCTCGGCACCCCCACACTGACCGTGGCATGTCTTCCCGTTGGGCAGCAGCCGGTAGCCGGGGGGACAGACGCAGCGGTAGCTGCCCGGGCTGTTCCTGCACTCGTGCTGGCACTGGTTCAGCATCCGGCACTCGTCAAGGTCTGCGGGGCGAGAGGGGTGAAAGCCAAGCAGGGAAGTGGTGGTCCCCTCTGCTGCCCGCTGCCCTGGGGCAGCCTGGCTCTCACCTCCCCTTCCTGGCAAGCCAAGCCTGGGGAGACCCCGACCCCACAAACGGGGGTGCAAACAAAACGGGAGACAGGGCAGCAAAGGACACAGGAGCCGCCTTTAGGGCGCAAAGCAGAATCCAAACTCCCTGCAAAGCCCTTCCTGAGTATTTCCCCTGTGCACACTCACCGGTGCAGGTGCCGTTCCTCTTGACGAAGCCGGTGGGGCAGGGAGAGCCCCGGGCACCCAGCCCTGCAGCCTTCGCCACGCGGCGGAGGGAGAGCTGGGTGTAGAAGGACCTTCCCCGTGGGTGGCTATTCGGCCCCAGCCAGCGCAGGGGGGGGTCCCGGGGGGTGCTGCTCCTTGTGCCCCCTCCATCCACCTCTGCTGTGCCACACTCTCCGCCCGGCAGCAGGGTCCTGCCAGGGGGGCACAGGCACTCGTAGGAGCCCCGCAGGTTGCGGCACTCGAAGGCACATGGTGGAGGAAACTGCAGACATTCGTTTACATCTGGTGGAGAGAAGAGCTGGGAAGTTGCAGCTGAATGGGGAAACTGAGGCTGGAGCAGGGCAGGGGAGTGACTGTGGCCTGGCACCCTGTGCCCAAGGACACGTCCCCTGAGACCCCAGTTCGTACCCAAGCACGGCCAGCCAGCACCCAGCGAGCGATAGCCGGGAGGGCAGGCGCAGCGATACGTCCCTGCGGTGTTCTGGCAGAGCTGGTTGTAGCGGCAGGCGTGCGACCCCTCGGCGCATTCGTCAACATCTGGAGAGCAGAGAGGGGACAGGGTTGGGGAGGTGGCATCACACAGTGGGTGCCCCTCGCCATCCTCGTGCCCCCCTCAGGAAGGGTCCGTACCAATGCAGTACAGCCGCTGAGGGCCCAGGGTGAATCCCGGTGGGCACCGTTCTCTGTCAGCCCCTGGGAATCAAGCAGAGAGGATAAGAAGGGACACGTCACTGCAGGGACACGGCCGTTGCACCCTCACAGCCACCCAGGACCAACAAGGGAGCCCAGCATCTCCATCCCCATCCCTGGGAAACCCCTCGTTACCTGCATCAAGTGAGGTGCGGAGCTGGAAGCGGAGCTCCTCCGAGGTTGGGTCGTAGGAGGCTTTGACAGCTCTGGCCCGGACATGCTGCACCCAGGGGGGCTGTGGGCCCACGGGGGGGTCGTACACGATGGTGTGATTGCAGCGGGCACGAGCGATGCGCCTGTCCAGCAGGAAGCTCTGCACCGAGTCCCCCGAAAGCTGCCCCACGCCCGTCTGCACATAGCGCTCGTTGAAGTCCTGGGGAGAGGCATGGGGGGCGGATCAGGCAATGGATCCCCTCCAGGCTCCCAGCATGGGAGTCATGGCCCCATAGGTAGGATGGGCAGCACCAGCACCTGCAGCAACACCGCGGCCTCGCCGATGCTCTCC